AGAGAGAGAGAGAGAGAGAGAGAGAGAGAGAGAGAGAGAGAGAGAGAGAGATTGGTGACTTTGGGACTTTACGACATTTGGATTCAGACTCGACATTGGGATCGAGACATTGGATGAGGGATTACTTGGGGCCTGTATCGAAGACTTGGTGTTGTCGACATTCCCATCTTCCCCCTCTTCTTCGTCTGACCCCCCTCTTCTTCGTCTGTGTATGGTTTGGGGACTGGCACATTCTTCCTGTGTGAGCGCCAGGCTTCTTCACACCATGTGATGATGATGATGTATGATTGCTCTGCATTGCGACATTGATTGGTGTGATCATTGGTATTATAGCCTTCCGCTGCGCTATCCTGTACTACGTGAGAGAGGTCGGTTCTTATTCTGGTCTGTACCGTTACGGTATGCAACACCTGATTACCCAGAAGTGCCACGTGGCACTCTTATTACGTGAAGACCATGAAGACAACAGCAGAATACGGTAACAACGTCAACCTCAGGTGAGTACCCGATCACAATCATCCAAAGACCCCGATCTCCCACCTTGTCGCAATCAGTCACCTCATGTAGACAGTGTGGCCAATGCCACGTCAGATGCAGAGACAGGTGGCATGCACCACATCATCAATGAAGACAGGTGGCGGCGCCACATCAGCAATGTAGACCAGTGGCATGCGCCACATCAGCAGGGTAGACAGGTGGCAGCGCCACATCATCAATGAAGACAGGTGGCAGCGCCACATCAGCAATGCCTGGCGTGCAGAACAGAAAGCGCCAGCATGCTGCCACAGTCCTACGTCGTCGTCCACAGTGCCTGCGCACAGCCAGCGTCAAGCCAGCGTTTCGCCAGCGTCCAGCGATCCAGCGTCAAAGCAGGATAGCAAGACCGAATGTTGACTGCCCAGAGTCCATGTCTTATGTAGTGTTCGTCGAGGCAGTCTGGCCTCGAGTCTCCCTTCCACAGTCATACAGATTGACTCACAGCCGAGGGCCTGGATTGTATACCGTTGCAGACTCCCCTTGGTCATGATGCTGTCTGGGTACCTGCATACAAACAAATGTGTGTGTCTGACCGGCGGCCTGGGCCGGATACATTTCGACTTTGACTGTTGGGTGTTTGACAGTTGACTTTTTCGTCCAGGACCTGAATCTTTTCGTGGGGTTCTTTTCCCCCTTTTTGGCCTGGGTTTGAGTGCGGCCTGGCAAGGCCCCCAGACATTCCGCGAGGCATACCGCATGGGTTATTGCAGATGTTTTCTATCCATGGTTATTCGGCTGCGCTATCCACCAGAGTTTATTCATGTGGGACTGTCCACCTGAATTCATCTCTATGAGCTTATCAATTTGGATTTATCCGCTTGAGTCTATTCGTTTGAACCTATATGCCTTGGTTTATGCATTGTGGTTGTCCCTGAAGATTCTCTCTCAAAAACGGTTATTGTAAAAATGGCGAGTTCCATATACTGATGGGAGGCATTTGCTGGGCGTTTGTCTGAGTGGGCAGGACCTAGAGTGAGCTCAGGCAGGTCAAGATGCCGCATATATAGAACAGCAACAAGTAACCCAGCTCACACTAGACAAAGTAGGGTGATTTGGGAAAGGACGCCTCTTTAGGATGAGGGTGGTACGCCACAAGTACCAATGGGTGGCGTTTAGACCAGACACCCCGCTAATGGCCCTCCCCTTCAACCTCTAGGAATGGGAATGGCCCTCTGGGCCCTGTTGTCAGGTGGCCAAAGTGAGTCAGCCACCCCAAATGAGGGATTTTTGAGTCTATGCCAACCAGCTGGGCACATTTACGGGGGTGAGAAAATAGGATATCCGGGTCTGCCCCTACTATTCACGTCCAAATTTATTAGCACTAACCTAAATTTTTACAGTACCAACTATATTAATTTTATCCCTAACTGGACCCCCTCTGCGGGGTTGTTTACCCTTACGTTTATCCCGCCCGACACCTGGTCGCGGATGCATATGCGGGCTTCCGCGTTGGCGATTTTGAGCGACTACATCGGTGATGGGAAATTACTAGAATTAATGGTGGTAATAAAATTGAGGAAAATATTACGGAGCGATGAAAATGAACTCATTCATCACAATCTTGATTGATATTTTAATTTTGTGTTCGATTATGTTTCGCACCCAAGTTGACCTGATTCCACCCTTTTTTGTTAGACCTATTATGACCTCTAAATTCCGTGTGCGCCCTACCAAATAAACTATGTGCATACGACCCTGATGACTGACTTGCGAGTTTGGCTGTTTTGAGGGCTGTGGTTCGAGGTTGTGTAAGACGGTTCAGGGTTTGGACACCATGGTCACCTGTTGTTCCTTTCAATATGATCTTCAACACACCTGTTTGTTGGGTTCCACACGACTATTGAGGCCACCACACCTAGTCGCGGATGCACGAGCAGGCTTCCACGTTGGCGATTTTGAGCGACTAAATCAGTGATGAGAAATTACTACAATTAATAGTGGTATGGGGCCTCGACTTCCATGGCAGCAACAACTCGACAACATTAGATTAATTTCTGGGTACATCAATTGTTTGTTTCGACGCTGTCTTCGACGATTGTGTTAACCACTTCTTGTAGAGCTTCTGCCTTCATTCGGTACGTGGCCGACAACTCAGGGCCATTTTCTCCATCAACCGAGGGTGTAAGAGGCCTAATTGGTTTTGCTCGGGTTCAGTTTCCTAAACCACCACTACTTCCTAAAGTCATGCCCGTTAACAAGCCACAATTTTAGGAAATGTATGGGCCACTACAGAAGCGCCCAACTTCATCCGATTAGAAACATTTCTACTCTATTTTTGTCCACGGCCAATAGCTGGGCCAACTCTGGTGGTTTAACCAGCAGGATTTTTGTAATGCTGGCTAACCTTACTTGAGTCTTCAACAAGTGTACCGCGTGGGCGTTGACACAACTGGGTTCACGTCACCAGGTCTAAGGCTTGGTCCCAACATTGTATCAATGGTGGCCTGGTACCAAGATACCAGCTTCAATTGCGGCTGTCAACATTTGCTGCCGCTACTGGAATAAGCTGGATGGGACACACAGGGGGATTCATTCGGAGCTTGGGCATTCAGGGGACCATGTACCAGAAGTCCGGGGCTCACTGGACAGTGGACCAGAAGTCCGCAGCGCTCAGAGTTCTTGATTGTGCCCGTTCGTGTGCACGCGCGAACTGCAGTCGAGCCGGGGTCAAGAACTGCTGAGAAGAAGAGTAGCATGCGCCCTAGCTAGCGGGAGTCAGGGAGAGAACAAGAGTAAGGCAGTGGGAGGCATGGAGTGAGAAAGGGACACGGAAGTGAGTGGGGAAAAGAGCCATTTTCCCATTCCTCAAATTGCACACATCTGGCTTTACCTACTTCTACTGCCGGCCCCATGAGTAGACCCAGGAGTTAATGATTACCTTGCCCTCTCATTAGGGCCCCGCACCTAGAGCTTCCCTGCATAGACTGTCACAGGGAGTGTCCAGTGCCCTAGCCAAAGGTCTAGGTATGAGAGTCGTAGGCGAATGTACTTCCCCCCTGCCCATCACAGCCACATACTGTATTCAAGTCAGCATTCTGCATGTGATCAGACGATTGGTCAGCTACACTCTTGTTGTGCTCTGTTTGTGCTGATGTTGTATCAGTTTGTGCTGATGTTGTATCAGTAACTGTGCTGACGTATAGTCTGGTATATTCTACGTAGGTCATCCACCGGTGTATATGCTTCCCGCCTGTTAATTGCAAGACCCTAGCCTAATGTGTCATTCTGCATATATCCAATGTACTCCGCATGTGCTCAAATATCCAAGGGTACGGGAATCTAAGCCTCCCCTCTCCTATAGCTCTACCCTGACACCCACGCAGCAGGGGTCCTCACCTACTGACAAGGCAGCAGCATTGGACCCCGCAAACCGCACCCATTTCCTTGCAATTCAGGACCAAGCCCCGATGCTGCACTCGCTCACTGCCCTCCATGATGATGCCTTCGCAGAGCGATGCTCCCTCTCAAGACACCTGCCCCTGAGGAACCCCAAGGGATACTGCACTATCCCCTTGGCACCCCCTAATGACCCCGGGTAATATGTCGGCTCATGTGCACTGTGCTACAGGCTACAAACAAGTAAGTGTGCGCAGGAGAGGATGAGGGTTGGCAGAGTCGAACCCAAAACCTCTCCCTTGCAAATGCAGTGCTCTAACAAACTGAGATACCACCTCTTGGATGTCTTCCCAAGAGCTGCCTGAGAGCTGCAGTCTGCACACCTCATCCTTGACTCAACACTGTGACAGAAGAAGAGAGGAATGCCGCCGCTGGAAGTGTCATCTAAAATGCTTGCAATGTTGATGAGGGTAATCTAACCCAATGTAAACAGTGTGACCTAGTGGCATCCCCAATATCTCGGTTTATCATTCACAAAATTGCCACCTTCCTGCAGAAATACCCACCAATTACAAGTCAACACAACACAGAATCTGACCCAAACTTGTTCTTTCCAAATGCTCTAATGTGTCAGATTCCTAACAGAGTACTAGACTCAAACACTTGACTGCACACCCGAAAGGGTAGTACCAACAAAAAAAAAAAGAATGAAAAACAAGCGCAAAATGCAAAAAGAACAATGGAACTTAGATACTTAGTTCAGGGCTAGTTACAGCAACTACTTGTACCTTCATTCCTAACTCTGAGTTGGATGCCCCATCCCGCAAGAGCTAATGGTAACACGGCTTGAGCTATTGGCAGCAGACAATAGAAACCAACAAGAATCTGCCAATCCGATCCTGCCAACCCAGCAGATCCATGAGTCGTTATTTTTTGTTTTAGAAGTATAGTCGGCCTTGCCATTAGTATCATACTCACGTACCAATTGACCCCACTCCTGCTGCCAATCAATTACTGCACCATTTCCAGGTCTTGCTCCAGGTCTGTGACCTCTCAGGACTTGCCATGCTGCTGCCAGATGTTCTGATCCAGCCTCCTTGAAGTTCCTCCACACCCGAACACATCCATCAGCTGAGCCACAGAAATAACTGTCAGAGCTTGTGTGCAACCAACATAGTAAAAATCATCAACAGCAAAGAAAGAGCCACATAGGTGCTCGTTATCATGACAATAGAACAATCGTGAAGAGCACATAACTGATAGATGCCCAGTTGGGCAATGTATATAGAGCCAAGGATCCGCAGAGTGATGAGAAGGACTGGAATGGACAATGCAATGTCAAGCATCAACGAACAATGTACATCCCGATATATACGAAATAGCACAATGTAGCGCAGTGGAAGACTCAAGGATATGACCTGACCTGTCTGAGACTGACGCGACATCCCATCATACACCACACATGGGAGAGAGGGAGGAGGGACCGCATACACAGAAGACTTTCACACACACATGGGGGAGATACCATGGATGAGAGATGGGGGGAGCGGCGAGATGAAGATGGAGGCAAGGGAGAAGACCAAGATCGCGATGGGAAAGTCCAAAAATAGTCCCTTGCCGACTGTCCAATCAATGTCTGCCACAAAAATGTCGGATCAGATCCTGGGCCAAATGCCCAATGTAACCTCTGCCTGTAATCTCTCTGAAGAAGAAGAAGAAGAAGAAGAAGAAGAAGAAGAAGAAGAAGAAGAAGAAGAAGAAAGAGGAAGGAGGGAGACGAGATGGAGGGCGAGACGAAGAAGAAGAAGAAGATGTCGTCCTCCTCGCTGCCTCACCTGCAGGTAGCTGCCTCGTCGTCGTCATCGTGTGCAGGTTGGCGCGCTGAGTCCCAGCTATGGCGCCAGGTAAGTCCGCCTCTGCAGGTATGGCCTCCTCCCCTCTGCCTACCTACGGAAGAACTGAGCTACCTTAACTGTGTGTCTGCTCAGCCGAGGCCCAGCTATATGTAGCACTGGGCCGGCTGGGTGTGCCTCTGCGTTGGCCTGAAAACGGCCCGCATGGTCGGGGCCCCTACCAGGCGCCCAGCCCGTGCTGCTGATGCAGCAGGGTGCCAAAATGCGCCTGGCCTCCATCGGCCCTGCCTCCTGGTGTACCCAATCCAAGGCATAGCCTTGGGGACTGCAAGTCCGAAACGATGTCTGAACAGACAAAAATAGGACAGCAATAAATAAATAAATAAATGAATGCTGTCGCAAATCCGTACCCACGGCCTAAGGGCCGCCGTGGGCCTCGAGGGCGCGTGTCTGATGGGCACGCAGCCTGGGGGCCCCTCAGCAACCGTCGGGCCCCTGAAATGGGGCCCGTGTGCAGGCGCAGCATGTAACACTCCCCCCCCCTTATGAAGTCACGCCGGGTCGCGGGCGAAGCTGACGATCTGATGGTGGAACCTGGACGCGAGTATCACGTGGAGCCGAAGGTACCGGCTTGCCTTGCAACTTGCGTTCGTAGCATGTGAGAACGTCAGGGGCTGTTGCCTGAAGTTCCGCACGGGTCAACCAACTGTCAGCTTTATGGCTGCATTAGGAAAAATGTACCAAGTACTCTGTCGGCCTGTTGCCGTAGCGTTGCCGGGAGGTGATGTCGCCAACCTCTTGAAAACCGTCCATAGACGGTGGGTCTTGCGATCGTCGCTGGGAAAGTCGTTGTGTCCCGCTGAAGTGAACAGAGCTAACTTGGAACAATGAAAGACCGGGTGGACGGGCAAGTGGGCAGTCACCTGAAGGTCCTTCAGGTGCATCCCCGGTGGTTGCGATGATGGCCCAGGGCCCCATCCATTTCGGGAGGAGCTTGTGAGAGATATCTTGTTCGAGGCGGAACTCTGCGGCAAAAACCCAATCGAGGTCACCAATGCGGAATGGACAAGGAAGACGCCGACGATTGGCCTGTTGGCTCATGAATTGCTGCGTTTTCGACATCTGATCACGTGGCTTGACAAGTAGCTCTTGCATCCGACGAAAGAAGAGAAGATGGTCGTGGCTCTCAGCCGGCCGTGGGATAATCGTGTACAATGGAGACGTGACCGGCAAGCCATGCTCGAACTCAAAGGGCGACATCCTGATGGCCGAATGAATGGACGAGTTGTGTGCCAACTCGACATCCGACAACCGCTCAACCCACCTCTTTTTGTCGGGATGGATGAGATTGCGAAGGAGAACCTGTGCCGTCTGATGCGCCCTCTCCGTTTGGCCATCAGTTTGGGGGTGGTGCCGAACTCGGCTTGAGAGATGAGCCCCATCATTTGATGAGCGCCAACCAAAAATCGGGCATGAACCGAGTGTCGCGGTCACAAACGATCTCCTTGGGGTAACCCTTGGTTCGAATCCAACCGGCATAAAGGCAAGAAAAAAATATGGTGAACTTGGTGAGTCGATCGACCACCGTGAGAATCCCATCCACACCGGTCTTGTGCTTGGGGAACAGCCCGGTGATGTCCACAACAACCGCTTCCCTTCATCGCAAAGGGGCTGGTAATGGTCGCAACTCGCTGTATGAGCGATGATTGCCAGATTTGCAACGTCGACAAACCTCGCATGACTTGCAATAGCGTGTGACATCGCCGAGAAGGCCGGGCCACCAAAAGCGCTCACGAAGTCGGCTAATCGTTCCATAGACTCCAAAATGTCCAGTGGCGGGTGCGTCGTGGAACTCCCAAGAAGCCGTGTATGTAAATGTGAATCACTTGACATGCAAAGAATATCCTTCCCCCGCAAGTGGACGAGCAAATATACCTCTTGGATCCGATAGTGCGATGGTGCCGGATTTGGAGAGGAACAATTCGCACACTTGTCGCAAAACTTGGGGTCGACTTGGTAGCCGCAGATGAAGCTGTCCCGCAAGTCATCATCAATCTCAAAAGTCGAGTAGACTGCGGTACAATGGTCCGGACGCCGTGAAAGAGCATCCACAAAACACTATTGATGCTATTGACCGTGTCTTGGCCCTCGGTAACCATGAATGATCCTGAAATTAGGGTTTCGGGGTCAAATTGTGTGTTTTTTTGGATTTTTTTTTTTCTTTTTTTTTTTTTTGCCTGTTTTTGTTTGTGGACAAGCTTGCTGTGTGTCAAATTTGGTGTCATTTGGAGTATTAGAATTTGTGCTGTTAAGAGTGGTGAAAATCCTGAAAATCTGATGATTTTTTTTGGCAAAATTGCCTGAAAATGCACTTTTGGCTTGCTGTTTTATATGTTCTTCATTATTTTTTTTTTTAATATGTTAGTAACAAGTGCACTCTATACATTGGTATGAAGTTTGCTTGAAATGGCCTTATGGTTTCCTTATAAATTGAGGTGAAAAATGGGGGGTCGGTTAACCATCTCTCCGCTATTGATGCTATTGACCACGTCTTGGGTTTTGTAGAAGACCAATGGATTGTTATCCGTTACGCATCGGAGTTGACTTCGACCAAGAAGAAAATGCCGCCACCTCTTAAGCGCATGTACCATGGCTGGTAACTCCTCCTTCCATGTGTCGTCAATCGAGTGCACGACGGGCACTTTCTTGCTAAAATACTCGACCGGGTGCCAATCCACGCCATCGTGTTGCTTGAGGACGTCACTAATGTCATACCTGGACACATCGGTAGTGACGCGCGTCGGCAAAAGCGGGTCGTAGATGCTCAAGACCTTCGCGGATAGCAAAGCAAAAATGAACCTCATGCATCATCACCGAAGTCGAACGGTCGATCCTCGCATTGAAGCTTGGTCAAGTTGGTCGCCATCTTCGAATAACATTTGATAAAGCATTGATAGTAGCCACCAAGGCCAAGAAACGAACGGACATCCGTAACGTTCCACGGCTCTGGCCACTCATGGACAGCTTGAATCTTGTCCGATAACGGATTGATGCCCTCTGGTGTGACGAAATGGCCCAAGTCTCCGATAACGGATTGACACCCTCGACCTTTGGCAAGGGGGCCACCATCCCGGGCGACTGCGAATCTGTCTCCCTCAGCAGAAGAAGCAGCCTCGCTTGAAGGGTCGGTTGGCATTGCTGCCGCGACCACGACCACTTTCGATCGATGTTGATCTCTGCTCAGGCCCGCAAAAGGCAAACGACCAAGATTATTGGCTTCCATGTTCATCACAAAGATCTGCGTGGCCTTGTCGAACAGCTCCGCACTTGTGTTGAGGGTCTCCGCGACTTGAGTCAAAGCATTTGGCAATGTCAGACACGACGTCGTAATAAAGTAGTGTTTGATGCCTTTCAAGACCATCGACAAATCCGGCGTGGATGCCAAGCGTTGGTACTCGGCTATCCAATCTCCGCTTGGCAAAGCGTTCTGATGGAACTTCTGCAATTTGTCCATTGCCTGAAGTTAGGGCGGCTGCACTTGGAACCGCTTATGCCATGCTGGCTTCAGAACATCTCAACTAATCTTTGTATGCAGTTCGGAGACTGTGACCCCGTGCGTGGACAACATATTGTCCAGCCAAGCTTGGCACACGCCCCCTGATCGGGAGTATAAATACGCGTGTCGGCTGGCGTCACGGGTCTTGTGGATCTCCAGCTTGAGTTCGACCTGGCGCAGCTGCGACACAAATCTGCTGCCCAAGTTGTTGAGTTGCCGCTTGCTGTAGTTGCACACCTGTCTTCAGAGTCCCGACATCGATCTCCAAAACGTTAAGGCGATCGGCATAGTTGGAGGAGCCGGCGCTTGGAGCGGCGATGGGTCGTTGTTCCAACAGCTGCACGCCGCTGGTCAACTGTGCGACCAACTTCTTGTGGTCGTCGACCACGTCGTCGAGGCAGTGGATATCCTCTTGCTGTGCAATGCAAGTAGCCGTGAGGTCCGTAAGACGAGAGAGCAATAGCAAGATCTTGAGTCCATTGTTGCACTTCGCCGGTTCCTGCCTCTGTCCACCATTCCGCAGCCCTTGAGTAGATCTCTCTCCTCCTTGAATACCTTCTCGCATCATTGTCTGTGTTCCTCATCAGCAGCCTTTGCTGCTGCTTCAGCGTGCTGTCGGCGTTGTTCCTCCGCAAGATGACGTTGTTTCTCTGCCTCCTTCCGCTTCTGTGCGGCTGTCACTGCGTCTGCCCTTCGCTTGGCTTCCGCGATTAAGTTCAGCATCCGGGTCGTGTAGGCCCTGGCTGTTTCCGCTTGCTTCTGGTCCATGTCGCCTGTTTGTGATCTGGTGAACATGGACTAGGCTGGGGAACTGCTGACGTGGCACTCTTGGCTGCTGACGTGGCACTGTTCGGCTCCTGACATGGCACAACTGTTGGCTGATGTGTCGCTGACGTGGCCTGCCTGCTGATTTGGCAACTTACCAATGCCGCAGCATGGAGAACAAGAAGACAGATGGAGAAGAGTAGAAGAGGGATGCAGCGGCATAGATGGGGTGGGTGGGAGTGATCGTCCAGATAAGGAGCCACCAATATAAAATGAAAAGTTCGAACTTTGCATATTTTGTAATAATTTCGAGAAATAATTTTAAAAAAATTAAAAAATCGAAATTGCAAAGTTCGGCAGGTCTCCCAATCCCCAGAAATCCAGAAAAAGAAAATAAAAAAAATCGAATTTCAGACTGCAAATAATTAATTGCGCAGGCCACAGCCCGCCCTGAGCATCCTGGGCCTCTCAGCAAGTATGGCTGCCCTAAGTGAAGGCGGCCCTGTAAAACCACATGAGGCCTATTTCGTCCTATTTCGCACAGTGGGGCTCAAACAGTTATGCTGCATCAGTTGGTTGAATGGACCCGGGCCGTGGGCAACAGATCCGACCAAGGGCTTCTAGGCCCTTCCTATGTTTCTGAGCACAGGCCCTGGGCGAGACATGGGGCACAAACTGCACGCAGCACGCTGGGCAGTTAGACACGCGTAACCGCACGGGCCCCTGTGGAATATTATGGCCTCAGGCACTTGCGGCCTACCGGAAGCTTCTGGGCAGGGGCCCAGCGCAGCCAGGCAGTACGCAGCAGGCAGGCCACTTCCATAAAGGAAAGTGCCTGCCTCCACATTTGGCATTCGGGCACTCGCTGCTTATGCGCAAGCGCTGCTGCACCAGCTGCTGGAGTGAGTGCCTACACTCTCATGGGTGAGCAGGGAAGAAGCAGGCAGCCATAGCTGGGTTGACCTGCGCGTTGCTGGATGAGGTGCATGGTGGTCCTTGGTTGCACGTGGCATCTGTGTGGGGGATCGAGGTTGTGAGTGAAGCGTGATACATACCTGGTGCTTGAGGCGAATGGCATTGGTCGGGAAGCGGTTGACGTCACCAGCGGCATTGTAGATAGGCTAGATGGGATCTGCCATTCGTAGTCTGGGAGCTGAGCGCCAGATAGGGATTCGGCATTGGTTCATTGTTGATGATGATGAGACTATTCCAACATTGTCACTTGTGAGCTTTGGCTGTGCTCTTATTTGGTGGAACTCAAGTTGCAATTCTGCTTTTGGCTCAAGGTCAGGACTATCTGGTTTCATGTGTATGATGCTGCTTGGTTTTTGGAATTCGCTATCGCTCATTTTCCTTGCATTTTGGTATCAGAGCAGTGGTACATTGCGCTAATCTCGCGCTTGTCTGCTTATGCGGTGCATGCACGTGGTTAGCTGGGTGAGCGACCGTGGGTAGTGTGCAGTGAGGAGGGCAAAGGCAAGCAGGCGACCCAGGTGGAGAGGGGTATCGCCAAGAAGGCTGAGTGGTGATATTGGGTGTTTTGCAGTGTGATGAGAATTATCTGATGTGCAATTGATGCTGAGGTGGAACGGCGGTATAATGCTGGTTGTGCCAAGGCAATGATTGGTCATCACAATCGACGTCAGGTCATCTGGTGAGAATATTTGTGGTTGGGGGCAACTATTTTGAGGTATGTTGCTCTTAACCTTATCTACCCTCTTCGACACTTCTTACCGTGAGGATGTGTGTTCTGTCTTGAGAGTCCTCTCATGTTAGGAGTCGAGTGGGCTCAACCTTGAGAGTCGGCATTGTTCACGTGAAGCATCTGGAAGGAGAAGGCGCTGGCATCTGAAGGCCCCTGGACAGCACTAGGTCACGGTCACCATGCCAACACACCGGGAGTAGAGCACGCATGCTTCGGTGCTTTGTCCTTTGTCTGCCAGCTGCGCTATAGATAGGTCATGAGGAGCAGGCCAGCCCTACAGGGGAGACGAGAACCGGCCGTCTATAAATAAATACCAGTGGGTTGCCTTCCATTGGCTGTGATCGTCGTCTTGTTTGTGATGTTAAATAATTTCGGAGGACCTCGGGGGTCGTCCTTAAACTGCCTCTTGATTAGCCAATTGGTCGGTGTAAGGCTCGCTGCACGCGAGGGTAAACATGGTGCAGGGCTGGCCAGCTCGGCATTGACTTGGGGCACAGGGGCGGGCCCTGTGCACACCTTTAGACACACACAATATCTAGATTGCTCAGGAACGCTGAAGTCAAGCGACATCAAGAAGAATTGAGGGAGGGGTAGATTTCAGGTGATAAGTTCGGGAACAATTCCACTATGCAAACAGCCCTGCAAATGATTCTATTTTTATTTTCATTAGTAAGATGTACAACCATTAACACATCTGACTGAACACTATGCTGCGGTAGGCAACCAAGTGTACCCTAGTGCAGACAGTGTACAGTGTTGTAGCATATGAGCGATAGGGAGGACCTTGAGCCGAACGATCGGATCCTGCGTTCGTCATGCAGTAGACGCCTATTGGTCCACATAGCGTTAGGACCCGAGGGTGACCGTCTTCTGTTCCGCCAGCTTAGGGAGAGGCAGGAACAACAGTGGAGGGCGAGGGACGCAGAGGCAAGCAGAGCTTTCGCAAGCGAGGCAGCTACCTCAGCAGCCAACGTGGCCACTGTTGTGCAACAGAGTTCCCAGGCCAGTAGTTCAGGGACTGTCGGGGCGACGGTCGCACAAACCCTAAGTCAGTCCGCTGGCATTACGGCAAGCCAGCAAACAGTGTTAACTCCCGAGGATGTCGCCATAGAGCGAGCGAGCGCTCGCGAGGCACAGCTACAGCAGGCATTAGACGAGATACAGAAAGAAAAAAGAGAGAATGCTCAGACGTAGGTCTAGGATGCAACGGAGACAAGCGGGCATTAGGGAGTTAGAGGAGATGGCCCTAACGAACATGGATGACAATGTAAGGACCGTTAGGACAACCCTGCTAGATGTAGTGGAGATGCGGGACTACCATACGTCTCTCTTGCAAGACATTCAGAGGAGCCTGACCATGCTGGTCGGGCGAGTTCAGGTCACACCATCACCATTTGGGCCAGGTGCCTGGCCCGTGGTATAGCCTCCTCCTTTTGTCCCACCGGTCACTGGACTAGTCCCATACACAGTTTCTCCAGCTACGATACAGACCGCTTCCCATTTGGGTATGCCTTTGATAGGCGGGTTCTCAGCAGGTCTAGCGTACAGATTTATGTTCAGACAGTGTTTTCTAAGCCTCTGTTGCAAACTGTTGTAACAGGGTAGCCTGCTGTCTCGCAGCCAGCACAGCCGCAGGGCACACAGCCCCAACAGCAGCTAGTGCAGCAGCCTGCACCACACGCCCCACAACCTGGAGTAGCGCAGGCACCGGGACAAGGATAGTGGGTTCCCAAGACTGCCATCACGTCACCGAAACCCTTCTCAAAAGATAAGAAGGGTGAAGATGGTGTTGAGGTCGGTGCCAGTCTATGTGAAGTGCAAGTAAGTGCTTGTGGCTGCCTCCTATCTGGAGGGGAGTGCAGCAAGGTGGTTCAGTGAGTACGTGCAGTTACAGGGGCACGATCATGACTTCCGCGATTGGGCAGTCACCTAGAAATTGGATGATTTCCTCAATTTGGTGGAAGAAAGGTGGCATGAACCGCAGGAGGCTCAAAAGGCCACCGACAGGATATTGACCCTCAGCTCAAGGAAGTTCATGTCAGTAAGGGATGCCACGGACGCGGTTGAGCGTCTGATCTGTGTTCCTGGAGTGCGCTACGACCCCCAAGTCTTACTTACCACTTACCTGAGGTGTCTCCCCATAGAGCTCAGGAATCAGTTGTCAGGTGAGGCTTTGATCACGGTTCGCAACTTTCCCTCGTTCAGCAAGAAGGGCCTAGATCTAGAGGCAAAGATCGAGCATGGGCACCAACCCACTGCGGATGGTAGGAAAAAGGCACTGCCTCCTAACTGGAAGGCCAAGGGGCACATCATGTTCGTCGACAACAATGGTACTACCATAGAGTTGGACGACGACTTCCAGATGAGAGTAGGGTCAAAGTCGGGTAGCGCAAAAGGTTCAGGGGGTGGAGCTGTCGCTGCCTCGGTTCAAAAAGGTAAGGCGACCGGAGGATGCCGTGGAGGTTCCCGGTCAAGGAGTCAAGTAGACGCCAATGCTCCTCCATGGGAGAAAGCGGGGCTTACCGAGGATGTGTGGAGAGATCGTTACTCACATGCAACTTGTATTCGATGTGGTCGGGCCACTAGGAATTATAGTTGTTCCTGCTAGCGTCGAGGTGGTGGACACACCCTCACCATCCTGAGAGATGGCCCAAGCTATTGACTCTGTCGTCGTCCCGCAAACACATTCGGACCAATCGATTCTCTGTTCGATGAATGTGTTCGAGTCCTTAGAGGAGCTAGAGGAGTGGTCTAGATCAGACCCACTAGCTTCTTGGACGACCATGGCTAAAGCTCCTAAGGGTGAGTTGTTTGTCAGCGAGGTAGATATAGGCGGCCGTAAGGCTGGGGCCTTTTACGATATTTGTTCGACAAGGAACTTTATCAGTCGCACTTGCGTTGAACGGTTGAGCTTATAGGGGCAAGTGCAGCGCCTCAGTCGACATGTGGAGTCGACCTCTGCCAACAAACAACACATGGTAGTCGATGACTACCTAAAAGACATTGAGTGTCGTTTTACGTTCGCAGGAGGGGAA